CTAAGGCTAATGTGAGCCTGTTACTAAATCCAGGGGGGGAACCTGATAACAGAGGATGCAGAGAAGGGAGTTACTTAACACCGCCTTTGCATCAGTCTGCACCTACAAGACCAGACCTCAGGAATCTCTGACCCAGGAGACCAGGGTAAAGGAATGTTGGAAGGAAGACTTTCCCTTGGTCAAGGAGGACTGAGTTAGAGAGCTCCTAGGAAAACTTGACATACACAAGTCCATGGGCCCTGACGGGATGCACCCACGAGTGCCAGCTGTGAGAGCTGTCAGACACCATAGTGAGGCCACTCAAGATCATCTTTGAAGGGTGTTGATGATCAGGAGTGGTGCCTGGGGACTGGAAGAAAGCAAATGTCACCCTGGTCTTCAGAAAGGGCAAGAAGGAGGACCCAGAGAACTACCAGTCAGTCAACCTCACTTCAGTCCCTGGAAAGGTGATGAAGCGCCTCGTTCTGGAGGCCATTTCTATCCACATGGAAGACCAGAAGGTTATCAGGAGCAGTCAGCATGGATTCAGTAAAGGTAAATCATGCTTGACCAAGCTGATACCTTTCTACGATGAAACAACTACCAGGATGGATCAGGTTTTTGCATCTGTAGCATAATTTCCTGTAGGTTTCTCATTGCTGCATGTTTTAGACTGCATGCTGTGCTCCAATGTTTGCCAAATAAACTCTGCCACAAGTTATGGGAAGAAGCATTTTGCAGCTACAATGGAAGCTTATTGACTCTTCTGCTGCTGTTATATGAATTACATATAAGAGAAAGTTGCTCTCTCAGGGGAAGGCATTGGGGTTGTTTTGCCCTGAGGAGAGTGAAGACATTGGAAAGGAGCCTCCAGAGGCATAGCTTAGGTCTTGAATTTGAGTATGTTGAAAGTCGGATTATGGATGTTTGAGCAGGTGCTGCAGTCACATTTTGTTCAAACTCTGTATGAATTTGTGCATTAAACTGAGAGATCCCATGGGAGGGTTGAGTAACCTTTTAATGTAATAGGAGGAAGTTCTTCCAATGTTTACAAGTAATCACTGGTTGCAGGCGTGTTCATGCAAATTATGTCTGGTACCATAGTGGCTAAGAAATACCTGAAATCAGAAATTGAAGCCCCCCCCCCCAGCATTGTAAATCTGCAAAACAGTTTTCTAGAGTTTCCCATGCTTCCAACCCCTATGTCCTTGCTTTGTGTTCCACTAATAATGAAAGCAGGATTGCTTATAAAGCAGAATGGTTGAAATATTACATTATGCTTTTAGCTTGTAATTGTTTTCTTTCCTTCCCCTACTTACAATAGGATCATGGAAAAACTCAATAGAAGAATGGACTGCAGAAGACTGGAATGAAGATGTAAGTGTGCCTTGTTAAATACACCAATTGATTATTTATCCTTTTCAGAGTTTCTGTGTTGTCTTCAAAAATTAAATGTTTGAAGTAATACTTTGTATGCATGCAGTGATATTTCTTATTTTGTTTCTTGCTGTAATTTTTGTTTAAAATATATATATATAAGTTTATTTTTAAAATAAAATTGAATCAAGAAATACTAATTTTTTTTTTCTGTGTGGACAATACGTAGATAATAAAATTTTAAGTTTTATCCTAAGTTAAGTATTTGTGAATTATAATTCTACACTGCTCAATGCTGATGGGTGTTCACTGCATACTTTCCCCTACTATTATGTGAGGATTTTAAGCCATATTATCACAAGACTTTTATGGAATTAAGTGCTGAAGTTTACTATTAACTTTAGACTCCTTATTTGATGCTTTTTGTTTGAAATTTTCATAATTGTTCCATTTAGTGCACTTCATGTTCATAATCTTAAAAAAGGAGCTAGTAGTATGCTGATATTGGCACTTAATTACTTCATTCCTGTTGTTTCATCATGATGTGTTGTTTAAAGTACTTACAAGAATTTTGGTTCTCATTCTTTAACAGGCAAGAGATGTCTTCATGTCTGCAAAATAATTGACATTTGTGATCATCATGCGTGAAAATTGCATTTGTGATTTTAAGTTTTCAGTTATTGTATTAAAGCGTAAGCAGTTTGGAAAACAGACTACATAGCAAGAAATGTTGAAAGGAAAACTTAGCTTTCAAGAAGTCTTTCTTTTTTTCTATGAACATCCATTATTTCAAGTTTTATTTCAGAAGAGTAAGAGATTGTCTCAGAAGTCATTCCTTTTGCCTCCTCCTGTAGGGTGGCATGTCAGTGTTATCCCTAGAAATGTATGGATGTGTCATATAACAGATATGAAAACTCCATCCTTACCTAATGAGAGGGATATGTCTTTTGAGAAAATGAAAAGAAATTCTAAAATTCGTAGGTTTTCTATATCAGTTACTGTTCTCAGAAGCTGGCAGCTTTTTTAAACCTGTCCTCTATTTTTGCAGTATATGCTAGAAATAAACTAAGGGCTAAGGATACTGAAAAATTATGGCCTTGTTCTCACCCTTGTTTACTGGTACAATGCAACATTTGTAATACAGGAGGGGTGTTGAGCAATGTTGACTAGGTAATTAACTATTAAACCCAAGTAATTTGTACATGAATCTTGAAGGCACAGCAAATGAAACCTCTAGCCTGTTGTTAATTTTTATTAATTTTTGTGTGCTGGAAAAATCCCTGTAACCTAGGAGAAAGTTGTTCATGTGCTGATGATCAGAAAGAGTGAATGAAATAGCGAGCTGCAGACAAATTAGCCCAAAACATCCCTGGGGAATAAAGTAAAATTGATTCATCAGATTAAAAAAAAAAAAAAAAGGAAGAGCAAGAATGCAATGCAGCTTGTGCCATTCAGTGTAGTTTTATGAAAATAGGTTCACTTCAAATAAACCTGATATTAGTCTTAAAGTAAATTACAAGTTAACTTTAGGATAGAGGATGTCCTTGTAAGAGATTTAATCTACAACTTCTCTTCTAAATATAATTACATGCTTTCATGAAACACATTAAGTGGATTGAAATCTACCATGCAAATTTCAGCCAATAACTCTTTTGCAGGAGGGCCCTTATTGAACATGGGTATTTCTAGGAGGGCTATAAAGGAATCCAGTCCTAGGCAAGATGCAATCTAGTGTCTTTATCAATGATTTAGAAGTAAAAATAAGATCACTGCTGAATAAAATGTATGGAAAATAAAAAAAATATTGGAATGCAATTAAAAGTAAGCCAGTCATACAGAAATCTGGACCTCTGCTAGACTTGATCTGTTCAAATGAAAAATACTTTATTATAACCAAGTGCCCATTTGTTTAATAGGAATAAAGGTACACCTCCAGAATAAAGGTCTGGGGTCTAGAAAGCAGCAACTGAAAAATGTTCAGCATTGTAGCAGAACAGCTCAGCATGATCTCCTAAAGGGCTGATGCTGTGACAAAAAAACCCTATTGTAGTCTTTTTGACCATAGTCGCTCTTCCCTGTCTCTTAATCATTCTTGATTTATATTTTTGTATGTGGACTTTTCTGAACTTGATTTTGAAATCCTACATCCAATTATTCATTGCTTTTACAAAACAGAAAATGTGGAAAATACCTGGAAATATTTACTGATAGTATTGGTGTTTGAGAGTGAGACTTTTAGTTTACTGAATCTGCAAAAGGTTAGCATATAATAAGCTCTTGCTTTAGTCTAGCAGAAAAAAGCATAATATGAACCATGTATAGTAAACAATTTTAGCAGCATGACTAATGATTGAAACAACCAAGGAAGCTGATGTATTTGCTGTCTGCAGGTAAAGACCAAGTGTTTTTCTGAAGAATATTTTTGTTTAAATGTTATATTCTCTAGTCAGATGCAAGTTAGGTGCAGGTGAGTGAAATTTCATGTTGTTAGGCCTTAGAATGATTTGATTTCTGTGATCTAATAGTCCTTTCTGGTATTTATCTTTAGCAGTGAGTATTGAGTGAGTATAGTAGGTTGTCAGCATGCTAATTAATAGAGGAAACTACTTGCAGTGAAAATAGGAGGTTGTATAGACAACGAAGGACCAGACAAATATTGAGGTTCTGTAGATGGCTCTGGATTTTCCTCTTAAAATTGTGATTATATTCTCCTGGCTAATTAAAATAAAGTTTAACTACAGAAAGTATCAGAAGGGGAGAAATACAATACATACAAACTGCTAGAAAGTGGATGAAGGCAAAAATTTTCTGAACAGTATTGGTAGTCTTAGTTTTTATTTGAAACAATGGCAACACTTAAAAAAAAATAATGTATTTTAGTGGGAGTGTTTCCTTTACCAGGAAGCAGCACAAGAACTTGTTTTAATTTCTTTACCTTCAGTACATCATATCAAAACACTAATAAGATTTTGTTATTTCTGATTTGTTGTTGTTGAGTTTTTATGAGAATGCCAAAGTATATTTTCCTGTGCTCCTCACTTATCAACTGGTCATAGGAGCTGATAGCTAGTTGTTAAATATATTGTCTGTTTGGTGATTGGAGAATGATTTTTATCATAGAAATAGGAGCTGAAAAGCACAGGCATTTTACTGCAGATGACGGAAATACCCTTGTGAGGCCACTGCTTGCAAATGGTTCACAACTGTTCATTCAGTGGGAAAATGCCAGAGCTTCAGTGGAAGATTTGCGAGTGTAGTGTACAGTGAGCATAAATAACTTTGTTAGGAGTTGATATTACTTCTAAGAAATGCTAAAGTCATCTGTGTGATAAAGCTTTTCAGCTGCTGCTGCACATTTTGACAAATGCTGTAATCCCAGCAGACTTCTGAATTAGATGCTTGATTTGAGCTTGTGGCAGTGAGTTTGACACAGGGTTTAATGTAAACTTTAATATAGCCAAACTGGTAGCTGGAGATGTCTATTTTGCATGCTGGTTCACTTGAAGAGAACATTTTCTCTCTCACATCGAGCATGCTTTTGCATTGTCACAAACATCCTCAGGCTCCTTGATTTGATTAGTTTTCAGGATTCATCAGTGTTTTTGCCATGGTTAGTCTTATCCTGGGTTTTGTGAGCATAAGAAACTCTTGACATTACAAAGAATTTACTATTTAACCAAGAGATTGCAGACCATAGGCTGCTGTGCCATTAGCTGACCTCCTTGTGCCATATAATGCAGGAGTCTCATGACACCGCAGAAAGTACAGTACACATTGTTCTAAAATAACACATGGTGGGGAAAGGGCTGAGCAATAGAGAAATAGCCTTTTTAATCAGAAATATACTTGAGCTGAATCTTCTTTCTTTGTTTTGGTCAGTACACAGAGTTGCGGGCTGGCAGCATTATACACAGAACAGAGTTGTGTTCCACAAAGATGGGCTTAAAATATGTTGTATTGGCAGGAAGGGAAGGAAATGGAGGAAGGAACTGTGGTGGTATTAATTTTTTCATAACCCAGTGTAGTGCTAGGAGAGCACATGAAACATTTGAACTTCACCTCTGAGTAGTAAGTGATTTGCTCCCAGTCAGACTTTCTGCATCCTGCTTAAATCAAGTATTTCATAGGAGAATACCAATCAGATGATCATGTACAGGGACATAGATGCTTTCAGTACAGCTGCCTGTGGGATGGGAGATGAAATTGGTTTATGTCCGTGATGTCCTTTAAACTGGGCTGCTAGCAATTAAAAAGGCATCGTTTCCTGGAAGAACTAGATTCAAATATCACATTCTAAAGGGATTCTTTGTGTATATCTCTGCCTTGTTAAACCAAGCCTGTACTGGCTTAAGACTTATTCTGATTTTCAAGTATTCCTGTCAATAGAAAAGCTATTAAAATAACCCAAACAGGAAACAACCACCCCCCCCTACAATCCAAAATCACCCCCTTTCCCCCTCAAATGCCAACCAACCAACTCCCCATTCCCAGCTACCTGTGCAAGTATCTATCTGTATTGTAACAGTATGGTGGGAGCAGTACAGTTTTCTGCTGTCTGACTTTTTATACTAGTATAAGCAATTACACAGTTCTGCCTTTATTATTGTTTTCAAACTTATGCTTGCAGAACAATCTATTTAAGATGTTATTACCACCCCTAGCAGAACTGCCAAGAAGGAACCACAAATGCTAGTTCACTGCACATACCTGAGTGCAAACCTGCCTCCACCAGTGATGTGAACTGAAATGTAAAACACAGGGATACATGAAATTAATGAGAACAGTGTAATGTGTTAGACTTCTGCAATAAGATTTATCAGAGCTGCTCTATGGAGTCCTAAATTATGTCTGCACACTGATGATATACCAGATGTCACATTAATTACTTTCTAGTGGTATAGTTTTCAGTTAAAGAATTTCCCAAACTGATGTAGTTGAGTAGATCAAATTTCCTAACACTTAAATTAAATTGATACTTAATTCTGTGGAGAAGACTTTGCTGAAGTTTGACTACATGATTTTGTCTTTTTAAGCAGAACTGCAGCATAACTGGTTGTAATAATAGTTTGACCTTACTTTTATCTTAAAAGTGCATGACCAAGATGGAATTTCTGAAGGTGTTGCAGCACTGAAGTGTGAGCATGTGTATGATTAAAATAACTCTCCCACACACACACTTTTTCAGCTTTCTGAAACAAAAGTCTTCACTGCTTCCTCTGTTCCAGCTGAGAATCATATGACTCCTAGGCAGAGGTAAGCTCTTTTTCCATGGTTTCCCTATACCTTAAAAACTTTCTGCTTGGTGAAGCAATGCTAGTTTGCACATATAAAATGTTGACTAAAACACAGGGCAACCTTGGTCAGAGATTGGTCAAACTAGTTTCAAAATTGCAGAAGTCTTACTTTTGTGGGTTCCTGTGTTACCTATTATTGACTACAGAAGTGGAGCCAAACTTAACAAATCTGTGAACGCAATACTGACAAGATCCTGTCTTCTGCACAAACACTGCTTATAGGCAGGAGCAAAAGTAGCCTAGAAGAAAACTTTGGTGCTATTGAAAAGGAAGCTCTGGCTTGGCTGTCCAGAAAATGAAAATCCTGCCCTTGTAGATGCAGAAAATGTTCAGAGCATAGCGCTTTGACAAATATGTTGACAGGAAAGCTTGTGTTGCTTACCAGGAAAATCTCCTTCTTGCCATCACAATTTCTTCCCTTAACTGATGATATAGAATTCAGATAGAGAATGAAAAACATGTCAGTTGCTGCCCTTGCTTTCCTTTGTCTTCACCAAATGCCTGACCAATTATGTGGAATCAGTTGCCTGCATGAGCCTCAGAGAGCAGGTTAAGGTAAGACTTCTGTAGTTGGATAGCATGAGATCTGAAAACTAGATGGCCTAATGGTCCCAAACATCCTGATAGAGCTGTATGCCGTACTTCAGACTGCAGCAAAATTTTCCTTATAGCATGGATGTGACCTGGAGGAGGCATGATGTCAGTTGACTTACAGTCTATATTCCATTCCTTTCCTTCTTAAAGGTGATATGGCAGGGGGATTGGACTAGATGATCTCCAGAGGTCCCTTCCAACCCTGTGATTCTTTGATATGCTCATATGTTCATTGTTTTAATGCAAATATTCTTCCAGTGGATGTCCCTCAAATTATGTTAGAAAATATTTTATTTCATCAACTCAAATCCTGATGTTTTGTGTTTTTTGTTGTTTGGTTGTGTGTTTTGGTTGTTTGGTTGTTTTTTTACTTGCCATAAGAAAGGCTTGGATATTAAGAAATCTATGCTAATCAAAGTGCTGGAAGCAGCTCTTCAGCCCAAGTCTGTGGTATATTTAGGATAAATCAGAATTTTTTAAGTAGATTGTTTTATTGTCTGAATACTTTGCTTTTCTTTGGATAAACCTGTGTTAAACATGTTTAGGTGTTAGTAAGCCTTGTTAAATGTAAGAAAATTCACACTTCTCATCCTGCTCAGGCATGTGTGGTAGAGTAATTTTGGATATGTGCCTACTATCCAAAAAACTTAGCTTTTATTTCTGCTGCTCTTGTGACTTCCATACAACCACATATTTACTCGCTGCATATGACTTTATTCTTTACTGTCCTCATACCCACCCCATACAAAGGAATAGTGTGATATACAGAGAATGTGGATTATTGATATATCTAATGGATTTGCAGGCAGGATCAGCTTAAATACAATGTATCTTTTATGACTTGTCTCCAGTTACTTGGTTATATTAATCATATAGGCTATTTACGTGATATGTGATGTTATAAATTTGATAATGTTTCCAATGAAAGACAATTTATATCCTAGTTGTAATGGTAGGTTTCAGTTAGCAGAATTTTCTGGCAAAAACCTCTATTCTGCCTCTTTTGTACGGCAGACTAGCCATATTTGAAAAGATTGTTAATCAGTAATAATTCTGTTGCTGGTACAGCAACTTTAGTAATGTTTGCGCTTTCTTCAGTTTCAGCGCAGTCTAATCATTGTGTTTATTCCAGCCAAACTTTTCTTTGCCTTATAGCATTGATTTGGTAACACTGCTGCAAAAGCCTGAAAAACCTGTGACCTTTACCCAAGAGACAGAAGGCAACTCATTTGAGGCTCCCCAGCCGCAGACCTTTGGCCAAGCCCTAGTCTTCACAAATTCTCAGCACAGCAACCAAGTGGCATCAGGAAGGTGCAGCTCCAGTGCTGTAAAGTCTTGTTCTCCTCAAAGTCTGGTAAAATTATTTTATGCTTTCTAAATATTCTTCATGAGTAAATATTTCAGATTAAATAACTTTTCCAGTACTGATAATTTCATGAGATGTTTCAGTATTTATAAAATTCAGGTTGCAGATGTTTAAGGAATTCTTAATTCTATTGCTTCCACACACGCACACAAAATAAAGATTACTTTTTCTGTCTGGTTTTGTTAAGTAGTTGTTTCTTGGTTCACATGAAGTACTTGTGTTAATTTTGAGTAGAGAGCAGATGCATTTACTGCATGCATATTTAGGATGAAATCGCTTGTTTATAGTGAAGAGTTCTATGCCAGAAAACTGTGATGTGTTATTTGCAAGCACATATCTGACTACTTTTTGTGAAAATCTGATTATTTCTGATTTAATTGTGAGGGTTTGAAATTGGGTACTTGAACTGATTTTCAGAGAATAAATGCAACTATTAGTAAATACATGCTATTTTGAGATGTATGGTTACAGAAAATCAGTATTCTTGTAATCAGTGATGGAAGTGATAACCAGAGAGGATCTGGTCATATGCTCCAACTGCTGATTTTTTTACTGGTCATAAACTAAACCACAAGAAGTGCCACCTCAACATGAAGAACTTTCCATTGAGAGTGGGGGCACTGAAACAGACTGCCCAGGGAGGTCATAGTCTCCTTCTCTGAAGACATTAAAAACCCACCTGGACACATTCCTGTGTCACCTAACCCAGTTGACCCTGCCTTGGCAGGGGGTTTAGACTGGATGATCTCCAGAGGTCCCTTTCAACCCTAACAATTCTGTCATTCTGTGATTTATTAGTAATCTAGGACTGAAAAGGTTTTGGTTGCTGATAAATACCAGCTGTAGGCATTGACCCTATGGTTATGTTCACATTATAATTAAATACACACCTCCACTCTTTCCCGTTTTTTTTTTTTTTTAATTTATTTTTTGTGTCTTTTGGTAGTCTGCAGTTCTTTGTTCTGGCTTTGGTGAACTTGGGTCCTCTAAATTGACAAACTCTGCTGGATCTCAAATCTTGGACCAATTGAAATCTCCAGGTTTGCATCAGTTTACCTCTCAACAAAACAATAATGGTTCTACCACCACTGCCACATCCTGGGATCTAAAACCATCCATTACTCAGTCCTCAGTCCTTAGTCAGTTTGGTAAGTGCTTTGACATAGCTTTCTCTCTCTGTTAGCCTATAAGATTTCTTAATGCAAATAACAGTTTAAAATGGCCTTAAATGAAAAACTTTTTTAAAAAACCGTAATTCTAGTACTGTAATTGGTTACAGCATTGTGTTACACTTAGTCGCTGGTAATAGACATTACGAATATATCACAAACTAAGTTTTGATAGGCTTAAGCCTATCTGTAAATGTCACTGAATCTTTAGAGGTTGTTGAGCCTTCATGTAGTGACATCTTTCATTTAATGTTTGAACATTTAAGTGGAACTTTGATGTGACTTTGTGTTGTGGTATAATCCCAGCCAGCAGCCAAGCCCTATGCAGCCAGTCGCTCACTCTTCCACCAGCGGGATCTGGAAGAGAACTGGAAGGGTAAAAGCTGGAAAACTCGTGGGTTGAGATAAAGACATTTTAATAGGGAAATGTCTTGGGTGGGAGTGAAAGGCTTTGACAAAATTTATTATACAAGCCCTGCCGTTGAGTCAGGAGGTGCAGAAAGGACTCCCTTGCTTTCAAAACCCCTGCTCAGAGAGAAGCCTAGGTACAACTGAATCCTATGTTAGCCTCAGATTATGTCAACAGTTAAAATTTAAAGAATTACAGAGGTGTGATTGAACCATTTTTGTCCCACAGGTTTTATTGATTAACAAAAGGAGAATATTTATATAAAATGAATAATTTATTATTATAAATGATCAGACAAAAGTTCTTAATCAGAATTATTTACTACACAGCAATATAAATACTAAAACTACTAGTCGTATAGTATAAGATAGGATGATAGTGCATTATATTGAAGCAATTATAGTAAAACTAACAAAAAGAAATAATTATTAAGTAGAGATCTGATGTAACTCACCCAGACCAACAACATGTGGAGATCTTTCTCTTAACCTCAAGGAGTATTCTTGGAGGGCATCCCCAACCAAGGGAGGAATCTCCTCACATACACTCCAAGAAGGGCTATGTTAGAACAACCTGACTGTATGAAAGGGGACTGGACTTTTATAGTATAAAGTGATTAACACAAATTTACAGGCCAGCTACCAGCTTATCTGTCAAATCCTGTTTCAACAGCAGGATGTGTATTCAAAGTCTAGTGAACCAGGCTGGTTTTAGTATAATCAACACCAAGACAGCAAGACACCAAGACACCTTTGCGCAAGCAGTTGAACTTGCATGATGGCTTGCATTGTATGCATTCTCTGATTGGATTTTAGGTCTGATTGGGGTAGGCTCTCCTGACATAGCAAAGCAAAAGCCATGCACACAAGCAAAGCAGAACAGGGAATGCATTCACTGCTTCCCATGGACAGGAAGGTATTCAGCCATCTCCAGGAGAGCAGGGTCCTATCATGTGCAACGGTTACCCAGGAAGACAAACACCATCACTCCAAATGTCCTCCCCTTCTTCCTTCTTCCCTTCACTTTATACACTGAGCATGATGCCATATTGTCTGGAATATCCCTTTGGTCAGTTGGGGTCACCTGTCCCAGCTATGTCTCCTCCCAACCTCCCACACACCCCAGCCCCCTTCCCAGCATGGCAGTACAAAAAGCAGAAAAGGCCTTGGCTCTGTGCAAGCCCTGCTCAGTAATAGTAAAAACACCTCTATATTATCAACCCTTTGTTCAGCACAAATCCAAAACACAGCCCCATACCAACCACTGGGAAGAAAACTATCTCTACCCCAGCCATACCAGCACACTTTTTTTCTCAACAAATCCTGGAAAATACCCATTTCCAGTGTGCCTATGTTGCTTCTAGGTTGTACCATATTTTGTCTTTTTCCCCAATTTGTTCTCTTCTAATCATTCCATGAATTTTGAATGAGTCCTATATAATTTCTTCATAATGTGCATCACATCTCAGTGTTCTTTCCCTAGTGTGACGTCTATGTGTGCTGAAAATGATGCAGGTTAAATGATGTATTTTGTCTATTCATAATTGTATGAATTTTTCATTTAATTCAGTAAAATTAGTTGAAAGAGTAAAAATGACACAAACTTGGTTTTTGCAGTGTAGTTCCTAGCACTATCCTCACTGTGAAAAGTGATAGGTCTTGTATCTCTCTTGTGTGTATGCTTCCAGATAGATAAGCACACAATTTGGTAGCAGTTATAATCTTTGACATGTAGAAATTCTGAAAAACTGTTTATGTACATTTTATGTTTCTTTCTAATGTACTTCAACTGGATAAAAAAACCTTCCCACTGCAAATGCTGTGGATCTCTTACAGCTGTTGACTGGTGCTCTAAGACACTTTCGGTATCTGAAAATATGAAAGGGGAAGTCTTGGGAAAAAAACCTGTCAGCATCCAGTGTCTCTTGACTTTCATCCATATTGAGATAATAGATGACTTCCTATTTGTGTTGAAAATCTCATTTGTAGGGGCAGGGGAACCCTAACTCATAATACCACTAAGTTGCAACTCCAGACCCTTGGAAGAAGTCACATTTTATTGGCACAGTTAGTTGCAGTGAAACTTGCAGTGTTTGACTAAAATAATTTATAAAAGTTTTTGAGGTCTAATGTGGGATACTGTTACATGACTGTATGAGTAGGTTTGATTTTATATTTTTTAGGAAAGCCAAGGTAACAGCTCTGGTACAGGTGCATTTTGCAGCAGAGCAGGGGATCTATGAGGGGGGTATTGGTGATGGTGCCCTGAGATGGGGAAACCTCAGGAGAACGCTGAGACTGGCAGCTTGCATGAGAGTGGCTGACGAGGCATGGGCAGGGCCATGAGTAATGGCAGCTACCCCCTGTGGCACTTCAACCAAGGCATGGTGTGGTAGGTTGTGAGGGAGGGCGTGCAGGAAGGGTCCTAAGACCCTTCCAGCTCAACCAGGGAGCAATGGTATCTACATGGCAGACAACCACGGCCTCTTTAAGCTCTGTACCCACCATGACTGAAACAGCTGCCTAGTGATGCCCAAAAAGGCGGATTGAAGAACTGTTTAGAGACAGAGTTTTATGCCTTTAAACAGCAGGTATTTATTTAAAAGCAGTCGCGGAAAGTCTCCCAGCTATCGCTGGAAAAGAGACTCCGCTGGGACCAGGTATGAAAAGGTGATTTATACAACTTTGATTATGATTACAACATATTCGCATACATATTCATATTACTGAATTATTAGATTACAATATTCATAGCAGGAGGGGTCAGGGCGGAGTTGGAGGCGAGGTCTTCAATTTTGAGGAATAAACCGGGGGTACATCTGGTCTTTACTTCGTCAAAGGGTCTCGATTTTCCTCTTCATCACCAATTAACCTCATAACCTTCTGTTCTTTCTATTGTTCTATGTTCTGATCGTCTAGGCATGAGAAAAGGCTTGGCTTCAGGCCTATTTTACCTATTCAAATGTCTAGCCTGGCTCCTCTGGATAAGATTTATGGGTGCTGAGCTCCTTGTTCAGTGTTTGATGTGGATTTTCAGGGTCTGGTGCATTAGTACAGAACATAGCCTTCCTTTGAGCAATACAGAAAAGGGAGGGGGGATAAAGGGGTTCTTATGGGCTTACAGTAAAAGTGTTTCAATTAACTCTTCTAAAGTCTTATCTTGCTTCACTAGGCAGAGCTCTGGTGGGAACATGCTGCTACCCAGGTGTCAGGCTGCAGGGTGGGCCCTGCTCTTATGCCAGTATTGGACAGCAGTAGTGAGCACACCTGTGGGAGGTGTGCCCAGGTAGAGAAACTCCTCAACTTAGTGACAGAGATCCAGGATGAGGTGAGTAGGTTGAGGAGTATCAGGGAGTGCAAGAGAGAGTCTACTGGAACCAAACTGTACCTTTCCTGAGACAGGCCCAATAGGCAGACAGCACATGATAGGGAAGATTTCCTTAAGTCACATGGTGACAAAGGATAGGGGGTAATGGCGACAAGTTCCTAACCAATGAGCACAGCGACCATGAAATGATAGAGGTTTGGATTCTTGGAGGACAAGGGTTGGTAGAACTGCTACCTTGGACTTTCAGAGGGCAGACTTTGGCCTGTTTAGGAGACTGGTTGATGGAGTCCCTTGGGAGGCAGTCCTGAAGGGTAAAGGGGCCCAGGAAGGTTGGACATTGTTCAAGAAGGAAATCCTAAAGGTGCAGGAACAGGCTGTCCCCATGTGCTAAAAGATGAGCCGGCAGGGAAGACCACAGGCCTGACTGAACAAAGAGCTTTGGCTGGAACTTAGGAGAAAAGAGTGAATTAGCTTTGGAAGAAGGGGCAGGCAACTTGGAGGACTACAAGGATGTTGGGAGGAAATTAGAAGGGCCAAAGCCCAGCTAGACCTTAATCTGGCTGCTGCCGTAAAAGACAATAAAAAATGTTTCTATAAATATATCAGCAACAAAAGGAGGACCAAGGAGAATATCCTTAATTGGGCATGTGGGGAAACATAGTGACAAAGGATGAGGAAAAAGCTGAGGTACTTAATGCCGCCTTTGCCTCAGTCTTTATTAACAAGACCAGTTGTTCTCAGGGTACCCAGCCCCCTGAGCTGGAAGACAGGGACAAGAAGCAGAATGAAACCCACATAATCCGAGGGCAAATGGTCAGCAACCTGCTACACCACTTAGACACACACAAGTCCATGAGGCTGGATGGGATCCACCCAAGGATACTGAGGGAGCTGACAAAAGTGCTCACCAAGTCACTTTCAATCATTTATCAGCAGTCCTGGCTTAACAGGGAGGTCCCTGAAGACTGGAGTTTAGCAAATGTGATGCCCATCCACAAGAAGGGTTGGAAGGAGGATTTGGGGAACTGTTATCCTGTTGGCCTGACCTTGGTGCTGGGGAAGGTCACTGAGCAGATCATCTTGAGTGCCATCATGAGTCACGTACAGAGATGAGGGAAAGGCTGTGGATGTGTCTATCTGGACTTTATTAAAGCCTTTGATGCTGTCTCCCACAACATTCTCCTGGGGAACCTGGATGCTCATAGCTTGGACGGGTACACTTTTGGCTGGGTCCATAAGTTTGCAGACAATGCCAGGTCAGATGGGAGTGTTGATTTGCTAGAGGGTAGGGGGGATCTGGACAGGCTGGATCAATGGTCCAAGGCCAATTGTATAAGGTTCAACAGTGCCAAGTGCTGGGTCCTGCACTTGGGCCACAACAACCCCATGCAGTGCTACAGGCTGGGGGAAGAGTGGCTAGAAAGCTGCCTGTTGGAAAAGGACATGGGTTAACAGCCAGCTGAACATGAGCCAGTGTGTGCCCAGTAGCCAAGAAGGTCAATGGCATCCTGGCTTGTATCAGCAATAGTGTGACCAGCAGAACTGGGGAAGTGATTGTCCCTCTGTACTTGGCACTGGTGAGGCCACACTTGAATCCCTTGTCCAGTTTTGGACCCCTCACTGCAAGAAAGACATTGAGGGGCTGGAGCAAGTCCAAAGAAGAGCAACTAAGCTGGTGAAGGGTCTGGAGCACAGGTCTAATGAGTAGTGGCTGAGGGAGCTGGGGTTGTTTAGCCTGGAGAAAAGGAGGCTCAAGGGGGCTTTATTGCTCTCTACAACTACCTGAAAGGAGGTTGTAGCCAGGTGGGGGGTGGTCTCTTCTCCCAGGCA